CCCCCAGCACCACATGCCAGCCTGCCCCGCCCCCTGGTGGGCTGAGCTGGCCACACACACACACACACACACACACACACACACACACACACACATGATAAATAAATAAATGTAAAAAAAAAAAAAAAAAAAAAAACCATGAAGACAGAGACACCAGGCTTTATTCTGCTTTTGCTTACTCAGTAGGCATGTGTAAGCCCAGATTGTAAGCCTCGTTTACACAATGAGGATGTTACAAAAGGTGGTTGCTGCTTGTTCTGTTAAAGGTAGTGGTGGTGTTTGGAGGAAGAAGGTGGAGGACTTTGGAAGGCCAAGCAAAGACATCGAGATTTGTTAAGGTCAGAAAGAGAGAGCCAAGGAATGTTACTGAGGAGAAGGGTAACATTAAGGTTACCCTGCCTGAGGTCTGCTCATCTGGAGGAGGTCTGGGCCAAAGGACACTGCATTGGGGTGATGTCTCTTCTCACCACTGACTTACCCAGTCTGCGTGTCGCTTGTCCCATAACTGGTTCTGGGTTAAGGATTGTGGACAACATGAACGGATGGCTTGGGCCAGGACTGTTGGAGGTGGAACAAAACGGGAGGGAAGATGGGAAAGCAATTGTGTGGGGCATATGGATGGTGCCCACACAGGTTTGAACGAGAAGGGGTGGGCAGGTTGGGACATGAAGGAATATGGTTCAGGATTTGCAGCCGTGGAACAGCTAAATGACGAGATATTGACCAAGATGGGAAGCTGAAGCCAGAGCTGGGCTGTGCTGGCGACATGAGGTGGGCGGGGCCTGACAGCCATACTCATCTCCCATGAGGGAAGAGAATGAGTGCCACACCCAGTAGTCAAAATGCTTTCCCTTGTCAGTGACAGAAACCACCAGAACTAAAGCAGGCCAGGGTAGCTCTCTTCTCAGAGCAGAATGATCCAGGGACTCAGCTGCCAGCATCCCCTTCTTTATCCTTGTAGGTATGGTTTTGGGTCCTCCCCCCACCATCCCCCTCCATCCTAAAGGTGGCTTTTCTCCAGGCTTCAGAGAACATAGGTGCAGGCAACTTCTGGTTTTCAACCTCACAGTCTCAAAACCAGATAGGAGAAATTTGGTTTTTTGTTCATTTCATATGGAAAAATTCCAGGGATGAGCTCTGATTGGTCCATTTCTAATCATAGGCAGGTCCCTGGGCCAATCACTGTTGTTTGGGTGGGCGGGTCATATGATGGGATTATGTGATTGGGCCAGCTGATTCACCTATCCCTCCTCCCTGGGGAGTGGGTGGGTGTGTTACTACAGAAGGGGCATGGGATACCATGCAGAGG